CTACATACACATCTATACATATACATTTATTTATTTATATTACCCACGTTCAATTCAACTCATGAGATTTAAAACTGGAACAAAATGAAACGAGAAACTGGAAAACAATGAGCCTGACAGGAAAATTTCAAATTGTGTCCGACATTCTAAAGAAAGCATTACAAATGAAAAAAAGAGGGAAGTCATTTTTTATTCCTGATTTTCCACCTCCAGTAATGCCAAGTCAAATCTCTAAAGATCAGCTGACAATCCAGACATAATTAAGTTTCAAAGTTAAGTGCCATAACCCTCTCATTCCAGACCATTTAAGGTGCACAAAGATTGCTCTTTCAGCTTTTTTTTTCTGCTGTGACACAGATTAGAAATGGATTTTTTCCTCTTTTTCTTTTAAGCACAGTCACAAATAGACAAATAGGAGTGTTCCTTCCAACAGCAGTCGGAGCAAAATTGTTACTGATCCTAACACACCTCTTTCCAATCCCCCCCCTTCTAGGATTAGCCTGTCCTTGGTTTTAGTTTTAACTGAAGTGCTGCAAGTGATGTTTGAGACAGTGATGTGGTTGTGTCATTGTCACGGAGGCAGAGGACAGTGTCTTCCCACAAGAAGCAGCTGGGCACAGCCTGGGGCAGGCAGTCACCTAAGCCAGTTTGTCCCCCAGAGGAAATATTCAGATAAGCAGACATTGCCATGAAACAACACAATCTCTGGAAGTGAGACTTCCAGACAATTAGTGCAATATTCACAGGAGGTGTTCTGTCTCCTCCAACTTCCTATCTCTCAGTTCATAACTTCAGTTAGGGTAGTATGGTTAGGTCGTGGTTGGACTCGATTATCTTTAAGGTCTTTTCCAACCTGAGCAATTTTATGATTCAGAACAAAGAAGTGTTGTTAAAGAGCAGAGTATCTATAGACCATTTCAAATACTGGAGGCATGGACTTAGTGAGTGCTGTGAAATAGGAAGAAGTTACGTGCGTCTGACTGCCTTCTAAAACCAGTTCTGAAATACATACACGGAAGAACATGGTGAGAATGCACCTGCATATTGAGTCTGTCCTTTGGGAATAGAATGCCATCAGATATTTTGCCAGATTAAGAAAAAAATGCAGTGACATTAAAAAAGGAAAAGTACAATGCATATTTTCAGGTTCTGCATTTTAAAATGACACCATTTTGGGGCACCAGATAACCAACTTAATGTTAATCTTCACCCTTTAAAATGTTTTTTTTTTTTTTTCTTTAGCATGCATTTGCAAATTGAGAATGCCATTAAAGCAATTACTTCCAAGAAATGATGCTGCAAGATTGACTGAGGCACATTCACAAGTGTGTGCACATCTACATATCTCTAAGTACAGAAGGCACTGTCTCATACATGTATGCATGCTTACATATCCATGCAGTAAGGCCCCAACTGCCAACTTTGCAGGCAATCAATCTTGTTTTAAAGAACTGCCATTATGGCATGGTTTTGGAATGCGTTTTGTGAAAGGTCACATCCCCTGCACCATATACTTCCCCACACTCAGTGCTCAAACACGCTCAATGCAATGACAAAAGCAGACTTCTCCAGGCTGGCTTTAACTACAAAAGCCACCACCATACCCAAACCATTCACACACATCTAGGCTTCCAGAACCGTGCTAATAACTCACTAAAATTAAAAAAGTAAAAATTAGGTTCTAATGCCACGAGTCACATTTTTTCCAGTACGAGCTGCTCCTGGCATGGCATTTCAACCTCACTGCTAATGAAGTAATTAAGCACCAGTGAAGATTCTGAAAATCCTGTTCTTTATGCACGACTCACAAAATAAAAACATCAGTTCTTCCCTCATGCTTTAACTGCCTTCATGTTACTATCTTGGGGCATTTTATAGATGTAGCTTTCTTCTAAAAGTTCTTCTGCTCCCATAAAACCAAAAGTAGAAACCATCCAACTAACCTGTAAACACACAAACGTGGTTTTAACAAAATGAAAACTTACATTCTCTTTCTGTAGGCTCAAGATGAAGTTATAGGAATACTTAAGGCTGAAAAAATTGACTTGGCTTTGCTTGAAGCACAATATGGCTTTGTTACTCCCAAGAAGGTGTTGGAAGCCCTCCAGCGAGACGCTATTCAAACAAAGGCTGAGCAATGGCAAGAAGATATCTATGAAAAGCCTATGGGAGAGGTATGTATTACTGACATCTAACCACAGATCTCACAGAAATCAATAGTAAAGATCTCACTGATCGCAGAGAAAGAAAGCAAACGTGTTCTAGGTTTAAAATCTAACATAGAAATGGGGTCAATAATAAAAGCAGGTTGCTAATGATCCTCACTCAGGCTACAACCATGGAGAGACTGTTTATGACTACCTCCAACTCTGATAGTCTGCCTTTTGTGTTTAACACTTCTGCATTTTTTTCTCTTGTTATCCTAATTCAGAGCTCCTACAGCCTGATACCTCTCCATTAGCCTCGATGACATCATGCCACTGCATCATGTTGTGGCCATCTACTCCCTACATATGCCAGCTCCCACTAATTCTGTGAGAATCATGGGTTTACGTGATTGATCTGAATAATGAACTGTCATTACAAACTTAATCCAAGCAGAAATCTAATATTTTCACACTATGTATAAGTAACACTTAGTTTAATTACTCTGTAGCAGTAGTCAACAAGCTACAAGGATTTCATTTCTGTCCTGAAATGCAAGTCACTATATATTAAAAGTCCTTCATATCAGTAATGCTTTTTGTTTTCCAAAAAAAGAATTCCCAACATCTCCTATTGGGTCACATCAACATTTCCTTAATGTTCTGCTCTTTATAGTTTTCTTAAAAAAGAAAATTATGAACAAAATTTTTCTACTGAGCATTTTCCAAACTTACTGAAGAGAGTCATACCTAAGAATACAGAGCTCATTTCAGAGAAGATTGTCAGGCAAAAGGTCAGCACTCATTTCAGAGGCTCAGAGGTTAAAACCTCTGCCTATAATCTGAAACAGATAAAGTTCAAGTCCGGAGGTTAATTTATTTTAGACTGCAGTGGCATTATGTCACAGAAACTTTGAGCACAAATGGAAATGATTTGAAGTCCAAAAGAGTTTGAAAACGTAAGTTCAGTCTGTTATTTTACATAAGTTTATACACGATTTTTCCCTCTTACACTTAATGGCAGAGAAAGGATTTCTAACACCACTTGATTTGGCAATTCCAAGAGGCAAAGGTAAACATCCTATGAGCAACTGAAAGGGTAGAAAGACCACTAGCATTTTGTATGTCTTCGTAAACCAAAGGATGCCTTAACTGTCAGATATTTCACATCTTCATACCCCCAAAACTAAGTCCAAGATCTGTTTTGGTTTTGCCTGCATTTTTTTCAGATACTAATAAAAGAAAGGGAGGAAGGAGAAGGAAAACCTGGCACAAAGGGTGGGAAATAACCATTAAATCTTCCCCATGCCACCATGGCAATGAACCTTTTTCACTGCCCACAAATTGTTCAGTCTCTCTAAAGCACATCAATTTAGCTTTGTGGCCTTGAACATGAAGGATCTACCCAAATCTCAGATGAAAACACAGTGAATTTCAGAGCACATCTATGAATACAGGCTTTTCATCATCCTCTCACAACTTACTCATCTCACTTAAACTTTATGAAGTTTCTCGGTGAATTTGGTTAAGAATAGAGCACTAAAATTTGGTGACCGGATAGCCTTAGTCACTAGGAACAGGATTCATGGGTAAAATCTAGCAAAATAGAAAATGGCAGTAATATATTTTCTTTGCAAAAATGATGAGGATTGTGATACATCAAAATTGTATCTGCCTTGGCTATGATATATATGTATATATATTTTTAAACTATTATTTTTTTTTTAAGCGGAGGATTTTTCAGGTAAATTTGCTCTACAGTTATTCCTTTCTGCAACCTAACAAATGCTGGATAAGGTTTGTCATTACTCACAGTTCAAGATACAATAAGTTGCTTAATGTTTAAAGGAGGTTAAAGAAAGGAAAACAGACTTTCTTTGTTTTTGCTTCTGTCTAACACATAAAGGTCTGAAAAGGCTTTCCATCTTTGCATGGTTTATAAGTTTAGATGATTGAGTCAGATATTCATGAAAAACTCTGGCTTCAGATCAATTGCCACTTCTCCGGAATAGAGAGCAAATGGTATTCAACATTCTAATAAATACTGCAAAAGAACCATTTTCCCAGATTCAAATAAAAACCCCAAATCATCAAAATAATAACATTAAAAACAAAAATCAACTCAGAAAAGGTGATGTAGTAAGAGAGAGAAAAGACCAAGAGGAAGATATTGCAGAATTAACGGCATCTTGTCACAAGTTTCAAACCTTCATGGAATTAGAAAGCCAATTCTGGTTTACAACTGACCCCAGATTCAAATCAGACAGACAAAGATAAAAACTCTGAGACCTCACTGGTTGAAACTTGATGAACAGGATCTCTTAACACTTCAAGTGCTTGAAAAGCAGTGATGGTAGACAAAAGCCTATATACTGCATAAGTCAGGGATAATTAAAAGTGGAACCCATTTTTTAAATCCCAGGCACCAATCGTCTTGAGGAATGTAGCGCTATCATCTGCCTTTTAACAAAGCATAACTGATGGTATCCTCTCAACTTTCAAGGGAAGACAGCTGTAGGAAACCAAAGAGTTACACTCACAGGAAGAGATGCTGATAACATGGCATTCAAGAAAAGCAGATCAATGTATCCGCACAGAATTCTGGTACAACCAGGATTGAAGAAGACAAGGGAAGAACTGCTCCCACCATCTCCAGAGATCCTCAACTCAGGACTATACATTTACACCCACACAGTGACCATGAGGGTATTATTAGCAAAAGTAATATTTCACTATATTTTGGATAAATAAATGTAACTAGCCCGGATTGTATTCTGGTTCTGTGCCAAACACAAAGCAGTCTAAAGAGAAAGACAGTAAGTTCAGTTCTGACAGAATGAATATGAGATGCACCATCTTAATTTGACTTCAAACACGAGTTGGTGGCAAAACAATTAAATGCCTGTGAATTTTTAATGTGCTCAACTATTCACAGTTACGTAAGTTCATGCCTCCTATTTTCCACTGTATTGTACACTATGTTCACTATGTAGAACTATTAATTCTAGCAAAAAGTCCATATGGTTAGCAAGTACAAAACAGCAAATCATTTAATCAAGATTTTATCACTTTAATTTTCCACAGAAGACATTTATATTACTGCTTATTAGTCTTATTTGGGGTTTTTAGCCAAGAACTGTATAGGCTGAGTAAACGCTGTGCAAAATGGACGTTTTCATACATGCACATCTAGCATTTGGACAGGGTAACGTGAGGAAGAAATGGGCTGCTGGAGAACACTCTTTTGAGAGTATCTCATGCTAGCTGGAGCTCAGATGGCTTCTCCCTCCTCTCTGCTGGTATGTGCAAGTCATTACAAGATACCAGGAGAAAATGCTGGAGGCAAACTGGCTCCCCAAGGTTCAACCCTTTTCTCCTGCAGGGACAGAACAGAGCTTCCAAACAGCAACGCGGCACCATATCTCTGTTCTCTGCTTGGTGCCTTGCAAATACTCTACAGCAAACAAACCCATAAAACACCATGCAGGTCCTGCATCCTTCATACCCAACATGCAGAAGCAGAAATATTTCTATTTGATTCATGTTGTTTGCACGGATTAGTTTGAGCAACCCCCATCTTCGTCAGTCATTTATATGTTGGGATACACAAGTCATTTGATTTATGATCAGCTTTTAGCCAGAAATTTCACTTTCTTTTCTTACAATAACAATTTTTGCATCCCCTCACATTCTTAAATGTGCTTTCAAAGCAGTGTTTGTGTCACTATAAATGCATTCTTTCATTTTCTTAGCTCTATCCATACAGGCTTACTGCCAAAACAAGGAAGAGTTTCACATGTTTGCTTTCTTCCTCACCTGACCTCACAGTGAAGGGTGAGACCAGCAAATGTGATCATTGTGATCATTGAATGCCATAGCCACAAACAGCACCACAACACAGCTTTATCAAAAAGCAGAATGCTGGTTGCTTTCAGAGGACAGCATACAGTCACCTTAAGGCATGGTCTTTAAGACCACAAGGAGCACAAACTCAGGCAATGGTGCTTCACACATCTGTGATATAGCTGCTCCAAAAACCCCTCTGAAATGATGGACAGGGAAGAAGGCTGATAAAATACAGTGAAAGTTTTCTCTCTTTTTGCCAAATCTACTAGCTCAGCAAAGGATTTCAAATTTTGAAATCCTCATGGATTGGTGGAAGAAGAATGTGAAGAAATTTAAAATAGCCAGATTTTTTCAATCGGACCTTTTAAGGCAATTCAGCTTTCAACCCCTGTAAAATACACAGCCAAGAAGTTTGGAAGAGGTGACACTTGTTTCCTGAGAAAGCTTGAGTATGGAAGGGTTTTGATAAGATATATTTTCCCAAGAGAAATCCTAATTCAGATTCATAATTCCCATTGACCTTGTAGAAGCAAAAGTACACTAATGCCAGGGAATGGGATGGGGAAAGTCTTGACAACCTGCTGTAATAGCACCATAAAGCAGCTGAGAAGGTCAGCCACCACTTTCTTTATATTTTTAGGTCATGGATGAAATTAACTCAGTTCCACTGCAACAGAAAAGACACTGATGCTGTGAGGAGAAAGAATAGGCCATTTTCAAAGTGACCCATCATTTCTGATGGAATATTTTGGATTCAAATAATCAAAGTTTTGTCAGTAGACCTTATTTCCTTATTCATATCAGCATCAACAAAAAGAAAAGTTAACAATGACAGGAAAAACAAGAGATGCTTAGAAAGAAGCTGAAGTAAGCAGAGGGAGAATCAGGAGCCCATGTAAAAGTAGAGGATTTTCTCAGTCATTCCAAAAACTCATGTTCAGGTATTCTGGTCATTCCTGACATTGCTTCTATCAGCCAAACTGTCAATAAGCATGAAGAGAAGATAATTTATTATAGTCCTCTGAATTATACTGCCTAAAATAAGCAGTGGCTCTAAGAATCTGAAGGCCCAGTGTGCCTTGCGGCATGTGAAATTCCTAGTGGGGGAAACGTCAGAGAACCAGAACCAGCCTTGCTTCCCACACTGCCCATTCGTGAATTCTTTCCTATTAATAGAGTGAACTACTTGCAAAACAGCTCAACTACTAGAATAGTCTGTGGTTAGAAGGAGCTGGCTCTGGCTTTGCACTGAAAATTTATCTTCTCCAAAAGAGATTTGAGGATTCTCCTGTTGACCTAATCAGGAAGACAGCCTCCTCAGAGGAGGATGAATGAGCAGTGAACAAAAGCGCCCACAAATACAAATTCTCCTCAGGTCTCTAGATGGCTTCAAGTGATCCCTCCTCAAACTTCAGCTAGATCAGTAATGTCTAAGGAGTAAGATCCCTGTCATTTTCTACAGAACTACAAATAAGATTTCTACTTCTATTCAACCACAAATAGGTCTACTTCTGTGTGAAATAGAGGCTTCATCTTTCAAGGAATCTGTTTCATATCAGAAATATCAACGACAAAAGCACATTCATAGCAGGAGGAGGTACAGAAGGTGACTGAGGGTCCCTCAAAACAGTACCTTAACTAATTTTGCTGGTTTGTTAGATTCAGGCTGATGGAATTAAATAATTTTTTCCAAACAAAGTACAGAGCCATCAGGCTATTAAACATACTTTGTATTAGTAAGCTTCTCCTATAATCTTTTATTGATGGAAGTCTGAGCAACTAAGAGTTTTGAAGTATTTCAATTTTTTTTTATTTTTTTTTTTTTTTAGCTTGATAAAGTTGTAGAGAAACAGAAGGAAACTCACAGACGAATGCTGGAGCAACTTCTAATGGTAGAAAAATCACACAGACAGACCCTGTATGAATTAGAGGAAGAGAAGAGGAAGCACAGTGAATACATGGAGAAAAGTGATGAGTTTATAAGCTTACTGGAAAAAGAACGTGAAAGGTAAGGTTACCACTTGGCATGGTACTAAGAAATACCTATAATTTAATATAACATGTACATATCTGTCCACTTTCTGCATCCACTGCAAATGAGGAATATTTGTAGAGTCATATTTTGAGAGTTCAGCTATAAAAGCATAATGAATTATTCCTAAATAACAGTGGTGTAGGTTAGCATGTTGGTAGATTCTTCAGCTCCATTAGAGAGTAACAAGTATGTTACAATACAGGGAGCCCAGGGATATGCACAAATGTGTTTAAAGTTACAACCACATAAAGCAGGTTGGTCTTCCAGTGTGTTTGAGATGTTCAGTGTGCACAGTGGGATGTAAGTAAGAGAATATGAAATCTGGACTGCAGACTACGATGGCAGAAGAAAGACATGAGGAAAAACAGAAGGTGTTTGGACAAATCAAAGCACAGAAAGATGACACAAAGGCAGAAGGTAGTTTGCAGAAAGCTTTGAAAATAAGTTCCTGTATCAGTACTGGATAAAAACCGTAACCAAAAATCTCAACAGCTTGTTTAAGCGTAACGTGAGAGTTTCAAAACCAATTTTCAGAAGGATAAAGAAGAATTTAACGACATTTACTGTCTTCAAAATTTCAAAACAGAACTTCTCTGAATCTGCTGTAAAATTGAACACGTTCTAGGGAAAAAGAAAAAATAATAGAACATTTCCTATTCTGTGGATAGCTACTCCAGAAGATAGGAGTATATTGTCTCTGCTTCCTTTTGCTTCAGAACAGCTTCCAGATGGAAATGTTTGGGTGTGAGAATGTCAAGCTTATTCTAAACTCACATTATGCATAGATAATTCTTCCTCTGCTTCGCCTGTGTAACATCATGTTCCATGTATTTTGGCAGCATTTACTACGTTCACCCTTTCCACTACACCTCTCTCCTTCACATATCAATGATAGCACATATGCTTCCCACCAAGTACACAGCCATATTTACGCACTGCAATTAAAGAAGGTGGGGAAAAAATAATTTGCTTCTCAGAAAAAAAAAAAGAGCATTAATGCACGCAACCACAAGCACACACAGAAAATCACATACAGTCACCCAGCAAAGGGCAGAATGGATGTTTTTCTCCAAAAATTGCTTTTGTAAAGCATCAACTTATTGAGAACTGAAGTCTGAGCTGAACAGAGGTTTTCATCTGTGTTGTCCTTTCCTCATGAAGTAGGAGTCACTCATCTATCTCTTAGAGACAGAGCTAAACAACCACAATTGCTAAATGTTACATCAGACACGTGTGCTCTCACAGCCTGAAATGCTGCTCAAGAGGAAAGACTAAACCACAATCTTTGTGAAAACAAAGTAGGCATGGGAATAAAACTCCATTCCTTGCACCTCCTCCTACTCTCCCCATAAAACATTTACCACTATGATCTGCAACATTTAGTCTATCTGCCTGGAAAAATGAAAAAGAAATAAGAAAAAAGAAAATAGTGAGGTGCCTAATGAGACCTTAGAGGACGTAATGATAGATTTCAGATTAAGTCTCAATTTTTCTATTTTCTTTGGAGTGCTTATTTTATGTGGAAAACCGTAAGGGGGTGTGATGTCACATATTGAGCTGATTCCAAAATGTTTGCCAAGTCATGTCACCGTCAAGATCTCCATGCAATTGCCTGCCATAATAAAAAGAAAGAGAAAAAAAAAAAAAAAGAAACAAAAAATGCTCAGCAAGTTAAGGCACATCTCTCTGTGTTTACCTGCATGACTTGACATTCAGAATACACACCCATACACAGCAAAATGACCTTTTCTTTCATTTCAAAAATCTTAGTCTTATTGTAAATCTTCACAGGATGTAAATTTTGCTCTTGGCTTATGAGAACAAATAAAACTGTGAGAAGTTTCATACATAAACAATGACAATGAATGTTGGTTCCCTCTGCTGAAATTCCATTTAAGAACAAGCTGTACAGAAAAGCCATAACCGTTTGTCAAAGAACTTTCTTCCTTTTTCAACAAGAAGTATTCCTTTATCAGTGTGGAAAGGTGCGTAACGTTAGTAACAGGATTTCAGATTCAAAGCAAAATCCTGACCTTCCATTCAGTTAGTCAAAGAAGAGTTTTATTTTATGAAAGAGCAAAGCTACAGTATATGCTTTAAAATAACTTTCAAGAGTATAGAATGCATGCAAGCCAAACGAGGTATCTGAGTAATACAGGATTATACGATCAACATGAAAAGACTTGGATGTTATGGGGTGGTGATGCTGAAGGACTGAGAACTACTGTTTATAATACGAATAGGATCATAGAATCACAAGGTTGGAAAGGACCTACAAGATCATCTAGTCCAACCCTTCTCCCACTACCCTTACTACCAGAAGCCACTAAACCATATCTCGTAGCTCTTCATCCAGAATAAAGAAACTGTGAGTCAGATCCAATTCTTACATACAATTAAAGCTATTATAAAATAAGGAGGAGGGAAAGCATTTCCTCTTTCTTAGGTACGCTCTCAGGAAGAGTAAAACCATTGAATTCTTAAATGAAAACGTGAGTCATAAACTAGTTTATCAGATGGTTGTATGTTCTACAAAACCAGGCAAGCCTCCACCATAATGTCTTTCTGCTGCATTACTCCCTCCATACACAACAGTTCTCAGTAGAAAGGTTAACTTTGAATTTCTAATTAAATGATCTTAACTAAATTTTTAACTACGCTGTGTTTAGATCGTACAAAATATCAGCAGCCTTCAGTGAGGCGGTACAAACACCTCAACTCAATCATTCAACAATCCCTTTGACTTCATAGCAGGGCAAAAAAAACTTAAGTTTCTCCTAAGCAATTGTGCATTGTTAGACTTGTGAGTTTAAGACAAGATTAGCAACAGCTTTCTAGGTTTAATATTAATCCTTTAGATACTTCAAACATTTTTCTATTGCCTGCCAAAACTACTCTTCCATAGTCTCAGCTCAGAGATGAAAATGGATCTTCCAAGTTGGAAAGAAAAAGTATGCCAGAAAGAGCATTTCATGCCCCCTAGAAGCATGTGCCACTTCATTGCCCCTCTCCTCTTCGTTCTCAAAGGCAACTACAAAGAATCAAGAATAAATACATTCCGGACCACTGCTTTGTCTAATAGTATTGATGTTTCCTTTCCTTTCTTTCCCAATTTGTCAGAAAGAGTGGTTAATAAATAAATGAATAAATAAAACCAGCCCTGAAAATACACAATAATTTTTAAAATATAGATTCAAATATAGGTTCTACTGTATCTTTAATGAAGATGTACCTACTTGTCCAGATAACTTTATCCCATGCTTTTGGAGTACAATTAAGTAATAAAAGTTATTTTAGGACATAATTCGCAAAGCTAAAATATGAAAGTTTACGAGATAGACATGCTTCTAGTTTGAAAACATGACATATGCATGCAAGTGTTCATATATTTACATATTGTTCTCCATCTCACAAAACAAAATGAAATGCCTGAGAAAAGAAACAAAAAGGGTAAAATGATAAGCACTTACACAGCCTTTTCCACTGCAAATATCACAGAGTTTTAAATAGTATGTGAGTACAGTTATTTCCTGTTTTTTGAATACTGAAAGGACATGAAGGTATGAGTGAAAATAACTTCTCTCTGTTCACAGCATACCTGAATGCTTAGACTGCAGGAAAGGTAGAAATCTCCCAGTGAACAGATGTCCTCCATCTTCAAACTCACTACACACTATGGCTAGCATGTTGATTCTCCATAACAACAAAATGTAATTCACAAGTGAATGCTGTTATATAGGACAGGAAAAGAAACAGCAGTTTGACCATCAGAGATGTAAACAGACTTTAAAGGTAGTTAGGATAAGTGTTGCCCACAGGAATTCAATTACTGGCGCAAAACTTCTCAGTTGGTATGACAGTGATTAATAAGCTCTTACCTTAAAGATCCTCTAACTGAGAAAGATGAGATTCTTCTATACAGAGTTTTTGCTTTAGCATTTAGTTCACAATCACAAAGGTCAGACAGAGAACGTAGTCCAAAGGAGAAGAAAACCATTTTTTTTGCAAATAAGATAATCCTAACAGTTCATAAATAAAAGTTATCCCTTTTGCTCTAAGCAAGTGGAAAAAGAAAAAAAAACAACAACAAAACCCAGCCAACCAAATTCTATTCCACTGCGTCACCCATCAAGAAAAACACATTTTCAGTGTTGAAATAAGTTACTGTCATACCTATTTGGGGAGTCAACATTCACCAAACATAATGGTTGGAACCTGACCTGCAAAAATCTCAAAATTTTGTCTTTCTCATCTTAAAAAAACACAAAAGAACTGTGCTTGTTGCCTCAGTTGCTATCCCCCTCTATGTCAATCAATTAACAGAGACAGCTTTCGAGCACTACAAGTTAGAAGAGGTCTGGAAGCCTCCGGCACAACTTGTGTGCAGGGCCAAGTTCACAGGTTGCTCAGACCTTTCTCCAGCTGACTTGTGAAGAACTCCAAGGCAGCAGAATCACTGTTCCTATCTATAGGCTCCTCCTGCAGTCTTTGCCATCCTTGCCTGGAGACCCTTTCTCTCAGGTTCATTGTAGGCATCATCCTGGTCTCATTTCTGCCTTGAAATAGCTGTTACTACAAGCTCAGCAACCTCCTTTCTAGCAAACCTCTAAACCTAAATCATCATCATAATCTCTTATATTTTAGCTGCCTTGGACACAAATGAATTTTCCACACTTCCTCAGTATCTCACCTGCACAGAGTTCAGTTAATCAGTTGGAATCCCCTTACTTCTCTAAAAGCTTCTGCACAGTGGTCCTCAATGTTGCAAACTTCATTTTATCTACCTCTGCTCTGCTCTGCCTATGGGACCTCATACACACTATTCTTCAGATCTTTGCCTTTCTCTCTTTCTGTGCTTATTCTCACAGAATCTTGAAATCAGCTACCACTTCTATGCTGAAGATTCTCAGGTCTACTCAAACCACCACAACCACAAAAATCTTACCTTCTGTGAGCAGCCTGAGAATTTTATC